CAATGGGGTCTGAGTAAAATTCATTTAGACCGGGAACACCGAATTGATCAGATGTACGAATTCTCCCGTTTGCAGCGAATAAGAAAACTAAGGTTCGAGTAGTTACGTAGTAGTATTAGTCATAATTGAGTATATTTGCGTGAAGATCTTAATAAATCTTATTCTGATATGTATACAGTTATCAGTGGTGGTTACATAAATGCAAAGCATGGAATCGGTGCAAAGTCAAACCGGATAACCCTACCTCAAAAAAACCTCATTCATCCTCCGGGAATTTAGCCGTTAAATCAAGAATAATCCGCATCGTGTTCTCCATGCACAATGAGCATCTGCTCACTATCGTTACAATCTATAGATAGATGCACGATGTGCTTATGTCTGTTGTGTGTGTGCGGAGGTGGGGTGGGGGGTGGATGGGTGGTTGTTTTATCACAGCTGCCTCATAACCGAACTCGGGTGTGTTTCCACGGTCACATTGCGCTTGTCTCACATGGAGCGGGAGAAAAACGGCCGAGCGTCTCGGAAATCGGACAAATCGGACCGCATCGGGAAACAAGGAATGAATGATTTATCGCAACTACGGAATTCATAATCGGATGGGATCCTACAACCAGGACACAAATTGGGGACACAGTTCTCCACAATCTTGTCTACGTACAAACCAAAGGCAACATTCTACGGATTCTGAATGACAACGCAGCTGTGAATACTTGTTTTTATCTTCCTCAGGGGCAAGGTAAACGGAAGATGAAGAGTACATGAAACGACTGGCGTAGACAAGTCGAAATTCGGACGAAGTCATCAGAAACAAGGTAGTCGGTGGCTTGAATTCCGACTTTGCGTAGCACGTCATGGAATTGTCCAGTTTAACTGTCTTTACCTGACCAACCTAATTGGTTTCGCAATTACTTCGATAAAGAGTTCCTCATTAAGATCAAGCCATAACCAAGGAGACTGATATGGGGTTCAGATGAACGAGTGTTACACTCCATCTTGAGGCGGAGATGGCTGATCGAACTGCATGATAAATCAGTGTTCAACTTTTGTGGCTTCTACTTCGGTTATCAGTTTACGGTACTTGGCCGATCTCATTCTGATTATGAATTACCAAACCACGCACTTTGTTATGCATCAATAGAAAAAAACACTTAACGGCATCGGAAGCAGACTGTCATCATCAGATCACTTTCCTATTTTGTTTCCATAGTTCGTAATCGCTGGATCAGATTGTACTGTTCACGCCTATGGTGATTGTACGGTGAAATCGATCAACGTTTACGAAACAAAACCGTTGACCGTGTGATTCCAAAACCAAGTTTTTCGAGGAATTTGAAAACACACGCGGGGCACATTGAACGAGCTTAGGGTCTACACATTTGGTGCACAGTTGTGTGAGACCGTTCGATCACCGCCAACCGAGCATTGATTTGGTCATTTATCAAGGACCAGAAATCAATCGACCAAAAGGTAAAACATTGTTTCCGTACGCGCAAAAAAAACAGCTCACAATTTGTTCGCTGGGAGCGCTATGATGTTTTCGATAAAGAAAGAAAGTGTGCAATGTTTAGCGGGATGTAGTTCTAGCTGTTCTTTCTGTCCCCCTCCCCGCAAACCCCCTCCGCCCAAGGCTGTTTATGGACTGTGGTTTGGGCCAAAATGCGGTAACTTCATAGTGACCGATCACGGTTGGTTAAGGTTTAGTCTGATTACCTAATTGGCGAACGGTTGGGCTATTTACTTGTATTATTCAAAAGGATTCAGACAGAGGAGCGTGAGCTGGCGAGAAGAGAGAGAAACGAACTGGAACAGTTGCACAGTGGTTAGTAGGTTCTCTAATTTCTCCAATTTTACACTAAAACGTTCCACTGATGGTTGTTTAATCTAGTTTCGTGCAAAGTACAAAGTGGCTCCTTCCCAACGATGTCAGGAAACTGGCACGCAATTTTGACAACCTAATCTGGGATGACAACTGGCTTATTTTTGAGGTGAATGGGGGACCCTCGTTTTTTTGTGTGTGTCTGTAAGCATTGGTCGCGGTTTACCGCCATATCCTCGTTTAGTACACATCGACTGATCTATTCCCAATTACTTAGATACGGATCCTCGATCGTACAAGACAGAAGTGAGCTCCTGGTCAACGACGGTTTTGCGCGAAACAATGATTTTTTCGTCTGCGAACAAAATCAGTTAACCTGGATAAAAACATTAGAACTGGTTTCAAATTGACTTCAAGCATCGGGTTCTTGGAAATAAAACCGTACCCTTTTAATGACCTTTTCTTCTGCTCGAGCTTTTTTGATTTATGGTGAACATTTTGGGTTTTGGTCTGGATATACGTCAAGGATAAACTGTCCGGCAAAGCGTAAAATACATGAAGTCAGTACGCAAGTTCGGCTGGAGGAGGTGGCGCGCGGGAGAGGGGGGGGGGGGGGG